AGACACAAAATACTTGGAATTTAGAAAAGAATAAAAATTCTCAATAGATTTTAGTTTAAAAAATATTTACCATTCAGAAAAATCAGTAGAATAAAGCCATATCCAAGGTAAAAAAGATATCAAGACATGTAATTATAAGAACATTACTTTGAGCAAACTTTTCTACTGAAGCATAATTATAATTGTTTTGCTTATTTGAAAGTCACTGTTAGCTCTTCAGTCTTCTTTCACGTGAGTGACTGTATTTTAAAACACAACATCGTATAAAACCATAATGCCCAGAAACACCAGTTACCATCAGCCAAGCGAAATGTCCCTCAATTCACATTACTCTCCCAATACCAGGAAAAGTAAGACCAAGCAGGCAAATGTGTTTTTTGGTAAAAATGCTGTTCAGGGTGGACTATCTTTTTAAAATTCTGTAATACAAATGGAGTTTTCTTTTTATAGATCAAACATATTTTTAAATATACTATGTTGCTTACTACTGACTTTATAAAAGCTATAGATGTTGTATATTTGTATGATTTATTAATAATAATAGATGATCAGGGAATATTAACTTAAGCTTAAAAAGTCCATATCATGTGAAACATGCATATGCCTTTACTCTTATTGTTATACTTCTAAGAAAGGGATCACACAAATTATAGTTAAAAAGAAAAAAATCCCCTTGTACTTGGACTTCCAAGTAAAAAGTTTTGCTAATATGTTATTACCGCGACAGAATTATTTTTAGTACATATAATAGGTATACAATTAGTAAACATTTAAATTGTTTTTTTAAAAATTTAAAACTTCAGTTTGGAATGTGATATTTCAAACTAAGCAGCAGTTCAAAATGAAGTTACATTTGCATTATAAAGAGGTATAAAAGGAGTGGCAACTGACTCTATTCTAATCTAGAAATCCATTTTAAAGAACCTAAACAGAATAACTGCTTAAATGTAAATTGTAAACAGAGAATGGATGACCACTTACCAGAGACACAATAGAAGGATTTGGAGGTTAGACTATTGTTCAATAATTTTTAAATCCCTTCCAATTCTAAAATTCTATAATTCTACAGTTCTTCCAACAGTTCTATTAAGAAACAATTACTTCTTGCCACTATGGCCAGATTATGTGACATAAAAATGGAAATTTTAGTATCTTACTATATGTGCTTAGAATAAATTTCAACTTCCAGCAAATTTCAAATGCTGCAATTCACATGGGTCTGTCTTCTCTCTGTTTGATCCATATTGAGACCTGGTCCCCGTTTCAGACTGAGTTTCATCATGCTTGAACAGAACCTATTTTAGCCTAAATGTTCTACATTTCTTGGCAATGTTCTTCTAAACAATAGAAAAAAAGAACTTTAAAAACATGTAACAAATATTACATTTCAAATTCTGTAATAAACACCTGCACTTAAACTCCCTATGTTAAACTATTATGATAAATTATTTAAATGCAAGCAGTTGGTGTACTTGCTACTTGCTCAGTTCTCTCTAAATGGGGATTAATGTCTGTTATGAAAAGCAATTAGCTTCAGGTTAAATAACGCTAAGATGCTACGTAATTATGATTACCACTGTTATAACCTAACCTGGATTCTTCGTTCTGGGGACACACACAGAGGACAATTTGACTTTTATGTAGAAAACGGTTTAGGTTGAAGATATATACTTTTCAAAATACCCACATATCCTCCAGGAATTGCTAGAGAAATTTAATGTAAGAACAAACTACTTGAAGAGACTTTGTTAGCTTCTAAAAACAGTTGAGTTCCATGAATAACCAGTGAAAGTCCTCTGAATCATTAGTTAGTTCTAAATGATGTTATCAGACTATGTAACTTAAGTAATCTTCTAATCATTATTTCTATTTTTGAGATACTGGTTCATAAAATATCAAATCTCCATGAATCAAAGTGTTATCCACTGGCAGCATGGCAATTACAATGAAAACCAGGTCTACAAAAGACACTTTTGAACATCATTGTTTCACATCTTTAATATTGTCTTAAAGGGTCTATTACTCTTCAACTATCTCAGTGTACTCTGAAATATAAAATTAATAATTATAGTGAAACAGTTATTCTAAATCTAAATAGAGAATTCCGATAGCAATGTTTACTCAGAACATATTTTCATTTCAAATAATGCAAGATTTCTTACAAAGTCAGAACACAACTCACAGTTTGAACAGAAACCTCTGTGCTTGTATCAACATTCAGTAAAATAAACACTACCTACTAGGTTGCTTTTGAATATAAATCACTCATTTAAGTAAATGGGATATAATTTCTAACTTGTGTTAAAAGTGAAGAAATAACTTATTATGTGATGCCTTGACCAAAATCAATCAGTCAAGTGCAAGATTACCACATCAGGATACAAATCACACTCTACTAACACAACACATCTGTCAGAGATTTGGATGCAGATACACTACTGTTGGGGAACTGGATGTCCTTTAGCCAGAGGGCAATGAGAGAAAAAAGCACATCACAGATCAGGCCCCAATTTTAATTACTTCATTGATAACAATGCCTGATTTTATTTATTGAAGAATGTTTCTTCCTCTGAAATACACTTTTAATTTTATAATGCTAGAGAGTGGGGGAGAAAATAGGGGCCCACTTGTTAAAAATCCATTCTTTATAAAGTTATTTATTGATTAGATATGGAATGACTCTTCATTTTCTGCTCTGAAGACAACTAGATCTTTTTTTTCCCAAAGATTGACCTGCCAATTTACCCTTGACAACTGATTCGGAAAGATAAATGAACCTTCTGACTTTACAAATAAGAATGTATAAGTGTGTGTATCCTATGATCTGACCCATACTTCTGATTTAAAATATAACTAAGTTCTCTCCATAGACAGTATATTCGTTTTAAATTTTAAACTTAAATCATCCTTACTTCACCGTTCTCATTCTCTTTGCATTTTACTTTTACGTTATCAATGTAAATAGTCAAAAAACAAAAATCCCCAATCTTGAAACCAACTTACATTGGCGGTCTGAGGTTAGTTTATAACTTTTAAAATATTTTGTTAAAATGTAAAAACTTTGAAATTACAAACAAAAAATTGTATAAGTTTACAGTATATATCGAATTTATTTTTTTAAAAAAATATTCTGAATTGTGTTTATATAAGTAATCAAGTGTTGTTTTTTCAAATGAAACTCCTTTATATGCTAGAAGAGGATATGTGGTATTGCCCCATTAAAAATCGATATCTGTTTCATTTTTTTATGCTGGTACTTCAACTATTTCAAAGTAGTCATTTGGTAGAATCACATAACCTCTTTCTGACACGTCGTCCTTCTCCTTCTGGAAGTGCACAACCTCCTTTAACTTCTCAAGCTGTCGTTCCTGTCTTCTGCATCGCTGCTGTGCCGTCTTGAGCTTCTTTCTGAGTTTTTCAACCTGCTGTTCCAGCTGGTGAATCCTTTTCCTCTGGTGCATCGTATCCTCCACCGTGTAGTTGTGGTCGCAGAAAACCGAGAGGTTATCTGGGGTCTGAAGAGGAGGCATCAGCAGCCCAATAGCAGCATCCACCTGGGAAACGGGGGGTGTGGCAGGAGGGGGCGGGGGCTGTTCCTGCGGCTCCAGAAGATCTTCCTTCTAAAACAATGATACGGAGAATGTGCTTGAATTCGGTGACTAAAAATAATAGTTTAAAAGAATTAATCTGTGGAATGTAAGAACTACTAGACTTTTTTTGTGAATCTGTGGTATAGAAACATTCCAAAATGAGAAAATATTTTCAGTTTTAATTAAACTTTTCTACCCGAAGTAGAAGTGTGATGCAAGAAAGAGATAAAATGATTAGATTAATTAATACTAAGCGCTTAGAACTGAGGAGAAAGAAGTACTTTGAAACTAAACTGTCACTGACAAAGAAAACCCAAAACTTATCAACATACAAGTGGCGGTATAGAGTGATCTTTAAATAAGTTACAAAATGAAACTGAGTTTCTTAAAGTGAGGATATTTAATAAACTGTATTTCGTGTTTTTAAAAAGTATATCACTGTTAACTGGTTATTTACAAGTGATGGGTTCCAGGTCCATTTATTTTCTTAACATTAACTATTAATTTTCTAAATTTTCCACAATGACCACATTAATTTTATAAATAGAAAACAACCCAATACTTTAAAACATGTATTACCTTGTCATGTGGTTCGGTACAAAGAAATATCGTGGGGACAGCGTTCTCCTTCAGTAACTTGTTGTTGCACTCCCTCTTAAAGCAGTCTGGAGTAAAGTGCTCTGAACAAATACTGCTATACTTGGTGGGCTTAAAGTTTTTTCTTCTGACAGCTGCCTCCCATTTTTTACAAAGACTGGGTCGAGTAAGAGGAAACCTAAGAAGAAGACATAATTCGGTTCTCTGACTTCATTTAAGAAAAAAAAACAAAGGCACCCAAACTTTCCAGCTTAGGAAAGAACTATCCTACATTGGTGTTAATATTCTAAGGAGTATCTGATAAAGATTAGCTCCAGTTATCTATCTTATTTATTAATGTTGTAACTTTTCATATTGAGGACACTAAAAGATTCAAGTAAAACATATACTATAGAATAAATCCATACTCCTATTTTTTACCAGTGATTTTGTCTGCTTCACAAAAAAATCAAAAATTGTGCATAAAATTTGAATTAATCAAATATAGGGAATAATGATAAAGAAATAAAGTTATTTATTTTGATTTATCTCTTAATCAACTGGGCTATATCCATTTGGTCCAGGTATAGGGAGGTAGTTAAAGTTTAAGTTTATGGTGATTTTACTTTTCTAGGTCAAGAATTTGGTACACTGGGGGATTAGAAAAAACCAAAGAAGGATGTTTCAAATCTATGTTCCACAGTTTCTCTTCCGTGTAAGGTATGCTAGAGCCTGAGTCTGCTGTTACCATGAAGATCTAACAGATCTTTATGACTGTCCCTTTTCTTTGCACAGCATACCTTTCTCTGCTGCCACTATATAGAAGCTGGAAGAAGAGATACGCCTAGAAAATCCTTGCTGGAAATGGCCTCTAGAAATACAAACTACGATAGCAATCACTGGCAAAATTCAGTACTGAGGGCCCCGTGGCCCAAGGACTACAGATTCTCAGCTGCTTCTTAGGTTCTGTCAAGGTACTTCCCATCTACTCCTCCAAAATCTGTTCTTTTAGGTAATGGGTAAGATGCAGGTTAGCCCTTCTTTTGATTCAATCAACTGTTAAGCGTCAGCAGAAACACGGTATTTTTTATATGTGAATGTCATGTGCCAGTGAAGCATTTTCCATATTTTCAGATCCCCTCCAACATGTGTGTGATCCTGTCACCATCGCCTGACCTATTCCTACACTTTGAAAGTACCTCAGTTTTCAGAAATGCTAACTGATCAAGAGGTAGTATTAGGACACACTGAACTGAAAGCTGTAAGTGTTCTATCCCCTTCTCTGAGGGGAAACATCAAGACTGGAGATCTCTCTGCTCTATGTACTCTTGTTTCTGCAGGGCCCATCTCACAGATAAAGCATAAAAATGCATCCACACCCCTATTAAACATGAACAGCTCCCCACCAAAAAAACTGAAGGAATACTTAAAATTTTCCTTTTCTAATTACTTAGCTATGAATAATTCATGTAATTTATCACTGGGTCTGATTTCTCACCTACCATATGTGCATAGCTGGAAATTCTTGGAAAGAACACCTAACGTAAATGTAATAAAATTTGTAAACAAAACGGCTGCATGAAAATGTCATGTCACATTTTTCAGACGGTTGATATCATTATGCAATTTAAATGCTGCAGTTTTCTTTTCCTATTTTTGACAGAATGTTTTTCACCCTAGGACTCCAGCCGCACTACCTACTGGATAAAGTGGTCCGAGAGCTGTGGGGCAGCTGCTTCCGCAAGGGGCTCCCCCTGCGCCCGTGAGCACGTTTGCTACGGCCCAGGTTTGTCGCCACTGTGTGCGGAAACAATAACGATTTATCTCGGCAGTACCAGCTTTCTCTAAAACTTAGGGGTCCTTAAAGGTGGGTTCCTAGAAATTGGGTCCAAAAGTCCTCCCTGATATCCTGGCCAAACAACAAACAAATCAATCCTTAAACGGTGTGATGCTGGCAAGGACGAAAACAGTGATCTCTTCGTCCTTTCGCCGACCTTTGCTTCCACTTCAAATACACCCGAGGAGCGACGAGAAGCCCACGGCTCTACGGGTGACAAAATGCAGGCGTCCCCGCGAGCCCCGACCTCGCCGCGGCCGGTACCTCGAGCGCCAGCAACGGTGGCCAGGCACGCCCCGCCCCTGCCCCGCCCCTCCCGTTAGTCTCGCGCGGACACGCGCCGGCTCCGCCCCCAGCCCAACCGGCCGCGCGCCCCCGGCCCCAGCTGGGACTGCGAAGCGCGCAGGGAACTCACTTGTGGAAAGAAACAGGTTTATCCTTATCATATCGGTTCTTGCAGCCGTAGGCGGAACAGGACTGCACCATCCTTCCGGTCCTCAGTCACTTCTGCCGCCCCAGAAGGCAGGTGAAGCTGCTGTCAACGCCGCGCTCGGCTTTGACACCCTCGCTTCCTCTGTAGCTTTGGTCAACAGTTACAGTGACGATACCCTCATTCAGGGTGACTAATGTGCCCGTTTTGTTGTTTGCATTAGCAGAAGGACCACAGCCATCGCCCGTCTCCCATCTCCAAGATGGCGGAGGCAGCTTCAAGCTTACCTCTCGCGAGGAGTTCGTCCCACTGTCTCTGATTAGCCCCGAGGTCAGAGGTAACGTTTCCTGGGAAGCAGGCTATTGGCTGAGACCAGGTGTTTCCTGCGGCGGGTTTGGCGTTGCGGAAGTGGGCGGGGCCCCTGAGCTTCCGGCAGGGAGATGAGAACCGCTTGGGGGAGGAGGTTCTTTGAGCGGCCGGAGTTCTTGGGCCCGGTTTCCACCCCGGTGGTGTTCCCGGGCGTGAATTTATCCGGAGCTTTCCTGGGATAGTCTAGAGCGGGAAACAAACAGGGCATGTTGGAGAACAAGTGTAAAGCTAGGTTATTGTCTTGTGCACATTTCTTTAAAAGAGCGGCCACAGATGGGTAATGAATTATAAAACTTTGCGGAACCGTCTCCCATACCGCTGATAATTATCCCATTACCTGCCTCTTCAGGTATCCGAAGGCTCCATGAGAGCCAAGGTGACAAATTTTGAAAAATGAAAGAAGACACACCCGCTGTCTCTCAGTTGCCATGTGGGAAGCGTTTCTGAAGGCTCTCCGCTGCCGTGGTCTCCTTGTGCTGTGCTGGAAATCGCGAGGTGCTGCGGCGATTTTCACATCCGAGAGGTTTTGCCTCCTTATTCCCTGCCCCTTCCCTCTGTGTAGATCTGAGCCTGCAAATCCGGAGAGCGGACTGTTGAGTAAATCCCATGGCCTCTGCTCTACTTTTTCTGCCCTCTTAAATGTCGGCGTTTTCCCAAGGTTCCATCGTCGTTCCACCTCCAACTGGACACCTTGCTCCTTGAACTCAATCAGATACCGTGATTCCCTAATCTTTTAGTTCTGTATAAATCTGCTCAGCCTTCTGTATTATGATCTGTGAATCAACCGTTCAACAACTGTCTAGACCAGAAACTTTGGCATCATCTTTGATTTTTTTTCCCTCACTTTTAAAACCCCGTGATGACCAGGTTAATTTTATAGACTAAATAAATACCTCTTAACTCCATTCCTCTCCATCCGTTTCACTGTTCTTTACCAAGCTGTGGTAGTGTCTTACCCTTGCAGCAACACCCTCATTGTCCTGGTCTCCCGTTTGTATCTTCCCTGTCTAGCCTCCATAGAAACTGATTGTTGCGCCCCTGCTCATATCCTTCTGAGGCCACTCCCTGTACTGAGTAAAATCTTGTGATGAGCTATAAAGCTCTTTAGGACCAGGTACTTCTACTTTTCCACCATCATTTGCCTCCACCTGTCCTTAAACTCTTCCAGCTTTATGTCTTAGAGGGCTGGCTCTTTTCTGGCTTCTTTAAATAGGCTGTTTTCCCTGGCCTGAAATGCCCACCTGTCCACCCTTAAAATGTGGCCTACGTGTCATCTTCTTCAACAAGCTTTTCTTACTGTCTCTTCTTAGCCTCTCCAACTAAGGCACCTCTCTTGTTCTAGTGGAATCTTGCACTTACCTCTATAAACCACTGCGAAACACTGTAATGTCAGCATGCATGTCTGTCTTCCTCAACAGAACAGAGATGCCCTTGAGGATAGGGATTGTGTCTTAAGTTTGAAACCTCAGCAGCTTGCAGTGTCTGGCATAAATTAAGGATTCAGAAAATGTTGGTTGAATCAAGGGGTCCTGGAAACTGTATCTAAAATAGGTTCAGAGCTGGTGGCTCATGCCTGTAAACCCAGCACTTTGAGAGGCCAAGGTGGGAGGGTTGCTTGAGGCCACAAATTGGAGACCAGCCTAGGCAACATAGTGAGACCCTGTCTCTACAAAGAATAAAGAAATTAGCCAGGCATGGTGGTGCGCCCTTGTAGTCCTAGCTACTGTGGAGGCTGAGGTGGGACAATCACTTGAGCCCAGGAGTTTGAGGCTGCAGTGAGCTATAATTGGGCCACTGTACTCCAACCTGGGTGACAAAGCAAGACTGTCTCAAAAATAAATAAATAAGTAAAATAAAATAAAATAGTTCATAGCCAGACATACCTCGGAGATATTGTGGGCTCAGTTCCAGAACACTGCAACAAACTTCGGTTTCCCAGTGCATATGAAACTTAAGTTTACACTATACTATAGTATACTAAGTGTGCAATAACACTATGTCTCAACAAATGTACATATCTTAATTTAAAAATACTTTATTGCTAAAAAATGCTAACGATCCCCTGAGCCTTCAGCAAGTTGTAATCTTTTTGCTAGTGGAGGTTCTTGCCTCGATGTTGATGGCTGCTGATGGATTAGGGTGGTGGTTGCTAAAGGGTGGGGTGCTGTGGCAGTTTCTTAAGATAACAGTGAAGTTTGCTGAATTGATTGACTCTTCCTTTCACAAAAGGTTTCTCTGTAGCATGTGATGCTATTTGATAGCATTTTATCCTTAGTACGGCTTCTTTTGAAATTGGAATTAGTTCTATCAAACCCTGCCCCTTCTTTATCAACTAAATTTATGTGACATTCTAAATCCTTTGTTATTTTAACAGTGTTCACAGCATCTTTATCAGGAGTAGATTCCAACTCCAGAAACCACTTTCTTTGCTCATCTATAAGAAGCAACTCCTAATCCGTTCAAGATTTAACATGAGATTGCAGTGATTTTAAGGCTCCACTTCTAGTTCTATTGCTATTTCTACCACATCTTCGGTGACTTCCTCCATCGAAGACTCGAACCCCTCAAAGTCATTCATGAGGGTTGGAATCAACTTTCAAATTCCTGTTGATGTTGATATTTTGACCTTCTCCCATGAATTACAGATGTTCTTTATGGCATCAAGAATGGTGAATCCTTTCAGAGCATTTTTAATTTACTTTGCCCAGATCCATCAGCAGAATCACTACAGCCTTATGGAATGTATTAATAATATTTCTTAAATATTAAGACTCGAAAGTTGAAATTACTCCGATTTATGGGGTTACAAAATAGATGTTGTATCAGCAGGCATGAAAACAACATTCATCTTGTACACCTCCATCACAACTCTTGGGTGACCAAGTGCATTGTCAGTGAGTAGTAGTATTTTGAAAGGAATCTCTTTTTCTGAGTGGTAGGTCTCAACAGTGGGTTTGAAATAGTAAACCAAATAGTAAAGAGCATAGGCAGAGTAGATTTAGCATAATCTTAAGGGCCCTAGGATTTTTATGATAAATGGACATTAACTTCGACTTAAAGTCATCAGTTGCATTGCCCCTAACAAGAGAGTCCACCTGCTTTTTGAAGCTTTGAAGTCAGCCATTGACTTCTGTCTAGCATCTTCTTCCAGTGGAAAGCTGTTTCTTCTACAGTGAAAATTTGTTGTTAAGACAACTCCCGATATCTCCCCCACCTCTAACCACCGTGGCAGAGGCTGAAACTGGCTTCCAGCAGCTATGAGCAGTGGCCCAGGGGTAGGGCCCCCAGAAAGTCCAGGGCTGGGGATGAGGAGGGCGCCCTGCACTTCTCTGAAGAGGCCCCAGTCTGCAGCCTGACGTTCAGAACACAGCGCACCTCCTGCTCCAGGCTTTTTCCCCTTCACCTCCAGGTTCTCTTCCCCTTCCATGTGTTCCAGCAGACACCAACATCTTTTGGAAGCATCAGCAATGTGGCTTTTTTTTTTGAGACAGAGTCTCACGCTATTGCCCGGGCTAGAATGCAGTGGCGTCAGCCTAGCTCCCAGTAACCTCAGACTCCTGGGCTCAGGTGATCCTCCTGCTTCAGCCCTCCTGAGTAGCTGGGACTACAGGCGTGGGCTAATTTTTTCTATTTTTAGTGGAGACGGGATCTTGCTCTTGCTCAGGCTGGTCTTGAACTCCTAACCTCAAGCAATCCTCCCGCCTCGGCCTCCCAGAATGCTAGGATTATAGGCGGGAGCCACCGCACCTGGCCAGCGACATGGCTTTGAGCTCCGCTGTTACATCCCAATGTCGCAATCTCTTGAGGACCGTGATTAGCTTGCCGCGGTGTCGGAAAGGCAGTGTGGGCCAATCCCCAGGACAAAGAGACGGGCTGGGGCCAGGCAGTTGGGCGTTTTCCCAGCTCTGCCACACACCAGTTCTGTCCCTCCAAGTCCCTGTGATGTAGAGGTGCCCACTCTGCCTCAGGGTCGGGGGTGGCCTCGCCATAACGTCGGGTGCCTGTTGGTCTCCAGTGTTGATGTCTTTGGTCTGGGGTCCTGTGAGCAGGGCCTAGGAGCCCTAATTCCCAAATCAGCAGGCTCTTGTGTTGTTATTTCTTAGGCTTGTTAATGATATAGGCAGCACATGAATATTTTATGCTGTAAAACTTCAACAAGTAAAGAAGTATAAAAAATAAAAATGCCCTGTTATGCCACAGACTTCCTTACCTTTCCAAAGAATTCCCCTAAGCGAGTTAGTGGAGGTCTTTCCGGAAACCATACACACATACATATGTGTGTGTATCTGTACAAATACATTATGTGGTAGGCACAGTAATCACCCCACCCCAGACGTCCACATCCGCACCCCCAGAACCTGTCGATGTTATGTTACACGGGAGGGGGACTTGCAGGTGTGATTTGGAACCTTGAGATGAGATTATGATCCTGGATTATCCAGGTGGCCTCTAGTTAATCATGTGAGTCATTAAAAGTGGACAACTTGTCAGCTGTAGTCAAAGAGTTGCGATAGTGGAAGAATGGTCAGAGAGATGCCACGAGGCCGGCGTCGATAATAGAGAATAGGACCGTGAGCCACGGGATGCAGGTGGCCTCTGGAAGCTGGGAAAGGCAAGGAAACATTCTCCCCTAGAGCCTCCAGAAGGAACGCAGCCCTGTTGACACCTTGGTTTTAGCCCAGTGAGACCTGTGTCAGACTTCTAACCTCCAGAACTGTAAGATAATAAATTTGTGTTGTTTTTTAGCCAAAAAAAGAAAATCTTGTTAGTATAGCCATCTTCATCAGTGGTCTTAGCTGGATGTTCCGGATAACTTGCTGCAGCTTCTCCATCAGCACCTGCTGCTTCACCTTGCACTTTTATGTTTCGGAGACGGCTTGTCTTAAACCTCATGAACCAACCTCTGCTAGCTTCAGACTTTTCTTCTGCAGCTCCTTTTAGGGCCTTGCTCTGGCTTAGACTTTGGCGTAAGGGAATGTTGTGGCTGGTTTCATCTTCTATCCAGACCACTCACACTTTCTCCATGTGGACGATAAGGGTGTTTCACTTCCTTATCATTTGAGTGTTCACTGGAGTAGCACTTACCATTTCCTTCAAGAACCTTTCCCTTTGCATTCACAATGGGGCTGTTTGGCACAAGACACCCAGCTTTTGCCCTGTCTTGGCTTTTGCCATGCCTTCCTCACCAATCTTGATGATATCTGGCTTTTGATTTAAAGTAAGAGACGTGCAGCTCTTCCTTACACTTAAATACTTAGAGGCCATTGTAGGGTTATTAATTAGCCTAATTTCAATATTATTGTGTGGAATAGGGAGGCCATGGAGAGGGAGAGAGACTGGGAATGGCTGGTCTGTGGAGCAGACTTGCAATATTTATTGATTAAGTTTGCCATCTTATATGGGTACACTTTGTGGTACCCCAAAACAACTTCAATAGTAACATCAGAGATCACTGATCACAATCACCGTAACAGCTATAATAATAATGAAAAAGCTTGAAGTATTGCAAGAATTATCAAAAGGAGACACAGACATGAAGTGAGCACATGCTCTTGGAAAAATAGCGCTGATAGACCTGCTCAACGCATGGTTGCCACAAACCTTCAATTTGTAAAAAGGGCAATATCTGCGATGCTCTATAAAGCAAAGCGCAATAAAAGGAAGTATACCTGTGCCCAAATACCGGCATGGTGGTTTATTAGCATCTCCAGGGGCATCGAGACAGGTGGGACTTTCTCTCTGGTTTGCTGTGCCTGTGTCTGGTAAATATCAGAATGTGAACTGAAAAAGTAAGTTTTAACTTAGAGGTAACTGAAATTCTTCACTCATTAAGTGATTCAACAAATACCAAATATCTATGTTGTGTGTACAGCGCACTAGGGTGTCTGGATCCGAGAGAGCCCGGTGGGGGCGGGGAGGGAGGCCCGGGCCGGCCTTCGCGGGGGGTAGTTAGGCCTTCGCCGGGGGTAGCGGGGGTAGTTAGCGGTCCGTGTGCGGAAGGAGCATTTCACTTGAGAACCAAAGGGTGGAAAACAACCTCGTGCCGTGAGACGACGGTGGCGAAGCCGGAGGGAGCGTTCCGGGCACAGGTGCGTGTCCGGGCCGGACCCGCGTCTGCCGGCAGGGCGGTGGGTTCTGCGGCCGGTAACGCGCAGGGACTGCGCCCCCCAGGGAGCGGGCAGAAGGGCGTGACCTGAGGTCGAAGAAGCTGGGAAGGGGCTGGTCCGGATGCAGTGCAGCGGGAAGGCTCGGAACCGTTTTAGGTCGGGGAGAGACACGATCGGAAGGTCATTCTGACTACCGTGTGAAGAGTCACCAGCGAAGGGCAAGGGCGCAAGCGGCGGAGCAGTTTAGGGACGGGGCAGGTTGTCCCTGAATGGAGGCAGAGCAGAGGTGCGGTGTGGAGGACTCGAGCCGAGTGTGGGTGCTGCAGGTGCGAGGCCGCGGGCGGCTGCGGGAAGGAGGAAGAGGAACCAACACCGCCAGGGCGACCGAGCTTGAGCTTCTGGCTTGAGCACTGAGACGACGGACGGACGGTGGTGCCTTCTGCTGAGACGCAGGAGGCCTTCAGAGAAGAGAAGGGAGCCACTTCCCACAAGCAGATAAAGGGCTCGGAGGGGAGGGGAGAAGGGACTTAGGAAACTGGGCGGCGGGGTTGGAGGGTGGGGAGTGTCGGAGGAGAAAGGAGTATATAGTCCAGAGCCTGGAAGCGGGAGCCCATAAGAGGTGCGCGAGCATCCCGCCCAGCATGCAGCGCGCTTTGGTGTTTGTGATCGTGAATCAGCCTGGAGGGAAACCAGCCAGTCCGGACTGCCCCTCAGCCGGGGTCTCCTCTTTGCTACCTTTTCTTGTTTTCTGTCTTCCAGTTGCGCGTAACTTGGAAGTGAAATACACGCTTTTATTATCTGTTGAACATAAGCCTAATATTTCCTCACTTACACATGGTAAATTTACTGGTACTTATTGGTATGGTGAATTGCATATAATTTTTTAAAAGTTTGAACTAAATGCTGAAAATTTTTCTTTGTAAAACATCTCCAAAATTTTCACTGTGTGCTCTGCAAATTAATTTATGTTCTTAATAGAAAAATAATTTTCACCTCCTCTAAACTAACATGCCTGTTGTCTGTTTTTATTCTTCCTACGTTGCATGTCTTCATAGCGTTTCCAAGGCTGGAATAGCTGTTCTTGTCGAGGGGTGTTACAGGGAACCGATTTTACTTTTAAAGATGATTGTGCCGCCTTTTAAAGTTGATGGCAACAGCCCCCATGGCCACTGGCAGCTGAATGAGTAAACTGTGCACAGTCCACAGGGGCGCTGTTCAGCAGTCACGACAGAGCTGCGACCCCCGGCAATATGGGTGACTCGTACACACACGGTGTTGAAGTCAGACACAAAAGAAAACATGCTGTGGGATTCATTTTGCAAAGTTAAAAAAGTAAAACTAAAGTCAGGAGAGGTTACTTTTGGGGAAAGAGGCAATGAGAGGGGTGATGGCCAGACAGTTTGTTTACTTAGGATCATTCATTATGACTCTTGTGGTTTGTAAAATTTTGTTATTTGTTATACTTAATATAAAAGTTTGTTCAACAAGGGCTACATGAGATATGCAAAATTGCCCTTTTTTCTTAAAGAAGAGATGCTTATATTTTGGTATAGCAGGCTGAGCTAAGATGCCAACTTCTTTTTCTATAAAGATTTTTTATTTTAAAATACCTTAGCATTCAGGCTCTGAACCTCATTGTCTTCATTTGTAGAATAAGGCTATGGGACTAAACGAGGAATTTTAAATCTGGAACCTACAAATGGTCAGGTCTTTGAATCCTCTGAAAATGAATGCAAAATTATACAAACACAGTTGGCCCTCCATATCCCACAGATATACCAAAAATGCCCAGATCGGGTGGTTTAGTCCAAGATCACGGTGCGCCAGCACGGCGGGTTCTGCTGATGGCCCACGTCTCGCTGCGCCCTACTCCCACACCCTTGCATGGCCGAGAGAGAGTCTCTGGCTCATCTCTCTCCTTACTTTTTCTAGCAGTCCTAAACCCATTCATGAGGGCCCTAACCCCAACAACTGTGGATTGAAAATATTCCAAAACAAAAATCTCAAACAATAAAAAAGAATACAAACACAATATAACAACTATTTATATAGCATTTACATTGCATTAGGTATATGTGTAGACATAAATTCTAGGTTTTCTCCAAGATGTATTATTATTAGTAACCTCCAAGAAGGGTTACAGTTTTGATCTGAATATCAGGTATTTTTAGTTTTATTTTCCAAATGGTGTTTTAAAATTAAAATCTACACTATTAGATATCAGTGACTTTAAAACATCTTTAGCTCTTACTCTCTCCTATATCACATACTACCAAAAGGCCTACAGCTAAATATCACTCGTCCGAAAGAGAATAAGGCCAGGGCTAGCAAGGACAGTATCCCAAAATGCTCAGTGTTTCCTATTGGGGCATTTACTTCTCTTATGACCATTCTGGGACATGGGACAAGTTAGAAGATGCAGGTGGATAAGGATGACAGTGACTGATAACACCTCAGATTTGTCTGGAGTCAGACTCAATGCTTAACATAAATACTGATGCAGTGAAGATAGTCTGGTTCTAACAGAACAACTGGCTCAAATACTGTCTTTATCTCTGTGATAGTATTGCCTCCTGTTAGCAGCCCTTAAAGCCTATTGGCCTGGTTCTGAGAGATTCTTAAGTGTCAGGGCCTAAAAGCCTTAAATTCCTCTTCCTACTCTAAGGAGCCAATCAGGCCTCTTGTATATGGGTTGCTGATTAGCAAAATGGAAGGGCCTGGAGGACGTTTGGTGTTTCAAAGAGCAGGGGGAGGAGGGGAAGGCGTATGCAAACGTGAGGGCACAGACTCAGAAAAGAAAATGTCCCTTAGCAAATACACAGTTTAAATATACACTCGAAAGAAATGGGGATGGGACGTCAACTAGAGGTCTAATCTCTAATTTAAATTCCGACCTTATTGTCCAGAATTAATATAGATTGCTCGGATTAAATAATTTTCCTTAAAAACAAAACACACTTCTTTTCTACTTTTTAAATTTAAAAATGTCTAAGCATAATTAATTAGAGAGGTGATGAGATATTGGATGTCCATTAGTGATAAAGAAAGCCACTACAACCATTATACTGAATGCTCTTTTAAGAGTTCTGAATTTTAAAGCAAAGAATATTAAAGAAACAGAAAAATAACACCTTTAAACATTTTTTAGATATGTTGCTTTTATTCAAAAGAATAAAATACTTGACAAGTTTCAATCACAAAATTTGAACTAAACTGCAGTCGTCTACAACTCTGTGAGGTAGGTATCTGCACAGCCACAAGGGATCAGTAAGATCCTTTCTTCCCTCGTTCCTCTCAAACACGGAGAATTATAGTGGTCAAAACCACTGTTCTCGTGGGCAATTAGAACGGTTTTCACCCGTCTTGTTCCCCACAGAGCTGCGCAAGTTATTATCTGCTCCTGGGGTTGGACCATCTGTTTTTGTGACAGTTACAATATTGTTTAAAAAAATGCAAATTGTTGCTTTGATTTATATGATCTAACTCTGAATCACAGAAGTATTACTATGATGTTTAAAACATTGATTCTACTTGCTTTAAGTATTCTCTCAGATTCCTTCTGCATTTGTCATCAGTGATCCGCAAAGGTGAAAACAAACATCTCTAAAATTCTCAGATGTCAGCCCACACCCTTTTCAATTTCATAACACTTCAGATCATACAGTGTTTTTGTACATTAAAAAAGTTGGTACAATATACCTCTTATATTAGGAAAGAAAATCTTAGCAGTAATTCCAAATATTACAATAAAATTATTGTAACCAAAAATGTCACACTTGGAACCAAACACATGCACAGAAAATAAAATCCTGTCAAGAAACGACATTGCTGTAGCCCCACACCAAATTTGTAACTGGTAGAAAATGCATTTCCAGTCTGGTATAAATGGTGGTGTAACAAAGTTCTGCTCCTTAGCTTTTCACGTTGGTGACTGCAGCTGAAATGCTTTTCTATGATGTATGCCACCCTATTAGACACTTGATTTATTAGTGTAGATTTAGGATTCATGAAGTCTTGATGTGTCATCTTTCTAGACCTTTCCTCCTAGGAGCGCCTAAGCTATCCTACTCCGATGAAGGAGTGACATACTCTGAAAGACTTCTAATGGACCCCTGGTTCTCTCTTCCTTCTCCTCGCCATAGTGACCTTCATGTTTATCTAAACATCCTATGCAGGAGTCCTACTAAGAGTTTAATACCAGTTCAATCACTTATTTGTTGTGTGACTTCAGGCAAAAACCTTTCATTAATAGCATGGCATGTCATCTGTGAAGAGGAAGGTGGAGCCCTGCCCTCCTCGCAGAATTGGTCTAAGGATAAAATGACAAATGTGCAAGAAACTGTGTTAAGTATGATGTGCTCTGTCCAAGCATTATTGTTTGTCCTGGGTCCAAACTGGAAAACACAAATTTATGTTTCATTCAGAATCTCACTAGTTGATGGCTAATCTGATTAATCTGGGGGCTGTGACAGATTTTTCTCCTTATATGCTCTTACACATAGCGAGGCTCACTAATGAACGGAGAACAGCAGTACCAGTGACTGCAGATGGCAGCGGTCACACCAACTCCTGGGCGTCACCTTACAGCCTGCAGTCCTGAATTCACTAACGAGCACGGCCGGCTGAAATGAGCAAGGATCTCCTAACACTTGTGGTGTTGATTCTTCTCTGACACGTTCATTCACTGCGTAGGACGTGATGCTGCCATCTCCAGAGAATATTACAAACGTTTCCTGACAACAGAAAACCAAATTTGTCCAACTGTTGCTAGAGCTAACCAGTAAATTCTTTTGTCAAATTTACAGTGTTCCTAGCCTTCCTAAACGCTTCGCTGCTTATAAATACGAAGACCCACTGTCCTCAGAAATGCATCACACTGCTGTGTGTGTGCAGTATCACACAGCTTCTTAAAAAATTTTCCCTTTATAAGTTACTTTGTATCTACTCCTACAAAAGGACCAAGCTCTTGTTTAAATGTTATAACTGCAAACATCAAGTATGCTGACTGGAGATAAATATTTTTCATCTTAATTTCTCTGATGATTAAAAAGTGTTCTGTAAACCAGAATATGAAATCAAATTATAAAGTTCAAGTTTCTTCTTTCAGTTGTAGCTGATAACAGAATTATACCAGAATGAAAGAGCAGGACTGCTCCAAATGCACAAAACTGAGCTAGCACTCAAAGAACACGGACCTTCCCCCAAATTGTATAAGATTTTATTGTAATAAAAATATTTAGATGCGTTTCATAGCTATATATTATCATACAGGTACCCACTGAGGAGGATAAATTGGATAAACAGTACATTTGACAATATCTTACTATACATCCAATTTAAGTAATTTTAGGGAAAAGAAAAGGATATAAAAGCATCCCTTTTTATGTAATTCCATATTTTTTCCAGACAACACAGAATCAAGATATAACTGTAGATCACTATAATTCTAAACATCAGAGCCTGTCACATGTAAAAGTTCCAGTTATATATTGCTAGGCATTTGTCAAATGATAATCAAATGCTTGTCATATAGGGGTTTTAAGCTTGTGAGATAATATTCAAATGCTTTATACTGCCATGGGTCCTTTTGTTTCATTTTATACATTAGCTCACGTATTCTAATCTAGTAAACTCATTTTTTTTTTTCATCTGGTTAGCCTTTGGGTTATTACTTCTCGATACATAATAGAGATGTAGATAAGCAACAAAAAGATAACAAAGAAATCATCTAGAAAGCCTAGAATTCCAAACAAGGCTTCAGGCACAAAATCTAGAGGTGATATAAGGTAGAAAAAAGCTCCCATTAAACAAAGTATTATCCGAATGCGGAACATCCAGAAAAGGCCCCCGACTGAAAACATTTCCCTGAATGCGTGCCTCAGTAAAGTGGGTAGATCCATAATTCTTTCCATAATCTGGCAGGGAGAAGAAACAAATATTATGATTTAGCATCATATGTCAGATCTCAAAATAATATAATTTTCTCACAACACGAAAATTCAGTTAAGATGAATTAAGGAATTTCACATATTGATTGAACACCATTTTTTTTTTTTTTTTTTAGAGACAAGGTCTCGCCTGCTGCCCAGGCTCGAGTACAGTGGCACAATCAGCTCACTGACACCTTAAACTCTGAGCTAAAGCGATCCTCCTAGCTCAGCCTCCCAAGTAGCTGGGACTACAGGCATGCACCACCACGCCCAGCCGATTTTTTTTATTTTTTTCGAGATGGGGACTCACTATGTTGCCCAGACTGGTCTCAAACTCCTGGCATCAAGCAATCCTCCAACCTTGGCCTCCAAAAGTGCTGGGATTACAGGCCTGAGCTACGGTGCCTGGCCTCATATTTTGTAATTATACATTTTATTTAAATACAGTTCTTTGAATACTAAGTTCTCATAAAATAGGTCTTATTACAGATAATTGAAAAGCAACTAAAGTGTCATTGAGCCTAAAATGTGGGTTATAGTAACACAAAACTCAAGTTATGTCTAGTTTGAGTTAGTGAAATATTAATAAACCAAAGAACCTGGTATACAGGATTAGAGTCTAAGGCATGAGCTCAAACTTTAAGGTCAAACAGATCTGGGTTTGAATTCAAAATCATTTATTAGCCAGGTGATCTTGGGAATAGTTGTTTACCTACTAGAGATAATTCAACAACTAATTGAGGATTTATGTGCAATAAGGATGATTAAGAACTAAAAGAGATAACTGTTTATAAAATGTACAAATTGCTAGATAATATGGAAATATTACACATTAAAGCCATGAACGTGGATGGCTTTGACAGTGTAAGAACAGCAGCGAAACTGATTCCGTCCAGTGAATCATTTCCTCTGGTCATTCCTCTGCCTGCAGTTCGATTATTTTTAACAATCTGTATAAAAATCATAAATCCGACTGCAGGTATGCATTTTATGTAACAAGTGCCAAATAAGTTGAGAGGGAGATGAAGACAAAAATACAAAGAATTGAGCAAGTGAGGAGAAAACAGTTTTAAAAACTCTGACAAAGAAAATTATTCTGTAACTGCTTTTGGAATACTTGTCACAAAGGATCTAGAATTACTTCCTATGTTAATATTCTATTCTCTATAGAAGAAACTAATATTTAAAGCAAAATAGCTTTAGGGCTTTCACAAAGTCTATGGTAAAGGACTTTAGATATTCTTCTAATGAACAGCCAGTATATCTTTTGAATACCTTTCTATCTTTTATCAGAGCTGTTTTGTTGACTTTTAACATGGCATCAATTATACAAAAACAATAATAATAAACAAGAAATATGAGATGGTTTACTCAGAAATGTTTGTATATTAAGCATGAACTTATTTCAACTTTGAAGGAGGTAGAATATCAAAGAGCTAAATGCATTTATTGTACCGTAATTTCATTACATACCAGGCTTTCTTACTCATTATATATCTGACATCTACAAAAAAAATAATAATTGAGCAGTGGGTATGCTTCACATTTTAAAATATAAATGAAAATATTAAAGTGATTTTTTTAAGTTCAGTGGTAGTTCCTGAATTGGAAACAGGTTGCATTTTCAAAGAATCATCCTATAGATGTCACTGGAAGATATGTTAAAAAGTAATAGCTGCCTCAAAAATAGCAGGAGAGGCTCTCAAATAATTATGGAGGACCACAGTGATTGCATTAAGCAAACACCTGAAAAATAGGTAAATCTACCCATTATCATTCATAGCAGTTGAAACTATTAATACATGCCCTTAAAGGTACATGATCTCACAGAATAAGGAAAAAAGGGAACACAAAAGCATGTGTTCATTTAATACTGAAGCATTTTAATAGCTTGATATTTTTGGCTGGAAGTAGTATTATCAAGTCTTATCTTAAGGCTAACTCATTAATTTATTCAGCGCCCATTAAGGGCCTGTATCCCAAGCACTAAATTTGGCATGGGACTATAGCAGTGAATAAAGAAACATGGCCCCAGGAAGCTTCCAGTTTACTGAGAGAAAGAGCATGACCAGGAGCTGAGCGCTGTGCGTGGCAAATGCCGGGAAGGACAGTCGTGGAGAACACAGCAGATGGTCAGGGAACGTCTTTCCGAGGAAGGTCCATTTGAGAGAGTTCTTGCCTAGCGGGGAGAAGGCAGCCGTGAGAAGGGCAGAGAGGCCCTGGGGCGGGCGGCAGGGCCCTGCGGTGGGTGGGGGAGGAGGCTGGGGTGGCGACAGTGCGGCGGTGGGGTTGGGGTGGTGCAGGAGCGGGTAGCGGGAGGGGAAGACCAGATCATGCAGGGCCTTACGAGGCATAGTAAGGAGTCAAAACATTATTCAAAAACATTGGAAGTTTTCAAACACAAGAGCGTCATGGTCTGATTTATGTTTTGAAAATATTACCCATGGTGCTGTGCAGAGAAAAAGGCAGAAGTGAGGAGGCCCCTGTCATTGTCCTGCGCAGAGATGACTGCATTTGAGAGAAGCAGACACAGCCAGGACATTTTTATGCAGTAAAAAATAACAGGACACCCAACAAAGAGAAAGAAAAGAAAGGGTACAATTTGGTTACAGATCAGACGAGGATGAGGGAGAGGAGGAAATTAAAACTGGGAAGAGAATAAACTGAGTCAAGGAGGGAATCAGCTCCGTGTCACACACGTTAAGTTCGAGAAGCCTCTGCTGAGAGCCAAGCTGGAATGCAAGCTGAGGCAGCCCCCAGGGAAGGTCCGGCTTCCCATATAAATTTATACTTTGTGTGTTCTAGGTTTTGAATTACTTATTCAGTTACACACACACTTCTAGAATCATCTGTTAGATTTTAAGAAAAACAGAATGAGTCAGTAACATATAACAGTTTTTAATTTATTAAATGCTTTGGGGCAGAGGGAGAAGAGGTCAACTACAGAATTAATGTATGCTTTAAAAATAGAATGCTTCTAAACAGCTAAGTTGACATATAAAAACATACCCCAAAACCTGAGTTATTTAAAGGAACATTTCAAACGGGGGCTGGGGTAAAGGAAATAGAGTAAAAGGGTTATAAACTGCCTAGAAGCTTTCAGTTGCAAGTTTTCATGTGTAAGTTTTCTCATAAGACAAATTGGTTTAGAATCACATAGAAGTCAATAATTTTCTGTTTCTCTCCAATTTTTCCTATTGCTCTTTTGCTAGTTTTTCTTTCTTCAAGACTTTTATAATGCTTTTTGTTTGTATTTTAACAAAGAAAACTGCAGTCCTTGGGAAAGCTGTTAACTCCGTGATTGGCAATGATGAAGGTAAAAACTTGACCCAGTACACAGGAGGTTTTGCACAATCACAGAATACTTGTTGGTAAGTCTCACTTTACAACTTTGTGCCTGCTATGATATTACTTACAGATCTGGGATGCCCCGAGAACCTTCGGTTGTAATCATTAATATCCTGACGCAATCGTACAGCATCCTGAGAATGATCGTCTTCATCAAATACCGTCAGGAGTAAAGTTACCTGTACATTACAGGAAAAACATTGTTTCAACTTCCTGCATCATTTTTTTTCATTTTGTGTCACTCAATAGAATGATAAAAGCATCTGAATTCATATTTTACTCATTTCTTTTAAAAAAGGCAACCTGGCAGCGGGGGCTGGGAGAGTAAGTTACTACTACCTTTTAATAAAATCCAATGCAGAATGTAATTTGAACTCCTATAAAATAAAATAGGCAAGATATCCAAACACTGGTTCTAATATTTTCCTGTCAACACTGGGGGTAAATTTAGTAGTTCTCTGGGCTGACAGATATTTGAAGAATGAACACATTCAGGAGCAAAGTGACATCAAACACATACCTATCACTTTGAGAAAGCCAAATTATGGATTCCTGTTTTGGTACGAAACTAATGATTCTTTATTCTCACTGGTATTTGAAAGATCTTTGAATGCTACCAACCATAATTTAGAGATTAAATTATTGCAAGGACCAGCTCTCAAATACCAATCCCTACTATGATTTAAAAAAAGAGTAATTTTTGATGCTGTTATATAACATAATACATTTAACCTTGCTTCCTCCACAGTTGTGGAAAAGAGTACATACAAATGTCCCAGGACCATACTGGGATAATCTGAAGGTGACAGACAGTACCTTGAAAAATAAACACATTTTAAAATATAAAACCCCTACAGAAAATGGTCACTGATGAGTTGTATGAGGAGATAAAAATGGGCAGGAGTAGTGACAGATTTAGTTTCAAGCCATCTAGCTGTTGTTTTTATCCTTCCTCTGTTCAGCTGTAAAACCAGGGCTTCCTACTGCTCAAATGCTTCCCAAACAGCTAACCAAAACAATGACTCAGTGGAGTAGGTGGTAGGAACAGCAGGTACAGCCATCTCTTCCTTCACAAATTTGTTAATAAAAATGCATTCTTTCAATAAACATTAATAGGAGCACCTACTACTGGCCAGGCAGTGTGCTAAGTGCAAGGTATACAAAAAAAAAAAAAAAAAGACATGACCCTGCTCCTGGGTGACCGTGACACCCAAAATAAAAGGAGAGGCAGACCTGGTCAACAGCCTGCTCTCTGGCACTGGGGTAGCTGATATAATGATGCTACGAGGGTAAGGACGTCTTCTGCCTGGGGTGGACAGAAAGTCGAAACTTGAGCTAAGCCTTGGTATGTGGGAGGGACTGTTTTGGGTGAGTGCGGACGCACTCGGGGGAGAAGTGGTGAGTGTGTTCCCGTCAGAGGCAGCAGCCTGTCCCTTCCTGTTTCCATCACCATTTCCTGGAGGAGCCCAGTGAAACAGGAGGTAGAACAGGTATCTGCCATCTGTCTTGTATCCAGGATGAATTACTCTACAGTGAGGGAGCCAGGAGCTATTAAGACAACCTTATTTCCAACTTACTAGCCTCTAGTCAAGTTATCAGTGGCACAAAGGATACCACCAGCTCATATACATATGCTCTGTGAAAAGCCATGGGTAGAGCCAAGAAGCGGGTAGAACTAATTCTTCAACACAAGACCTACTACCTGGTCTCAGTGTTGCTGGCTGGTGGCAAAAGATGGTAAGGGGCGGTATTGGCAAGTAAGCTTCAGTGTTGACTGCCTTGTGCCACACAGCGAATCAGGCAGACAGGCAACAGAAAAACGTCAGTTTTCCTCCTGATCATGTGATAAAAAGTCCAATGTGAAAGTGTCAGGATTTAGTTATGTAGAAGCAAGAAGAAAAGGACCTGGACTTCCCTCTCTGCAGCAAAACGAGGAGGCAGCAACGGGGGGAAGCAGAGAGCCAGAATAAGGTGAAGTGTGTGCACGTGTGTGCACGAACACATCCCCCGCAGTTATGGAGGAACTACCATATTTTTATTTTAAATGAAAAATAAGTATAAAGGAAATTATGAAAAACTGTGCGCAACTGATAGACTGTCCTATTCTGCCATATCAAAAAACTAAGATCTTTGGTTTCTCGGAATTGTTCAGTATTTTGTTTCATCCAGTTTGTCAAAGAAATTGAGAAAATTAGGCACATCTCATGTGTGCTGACGTTTTATAATAATCTTCAAATTTACATTTATAAAAACTTACTGCCTGCCTCCTGAGGTGGCTTCTATACTAACTATAAGGTCTGATCTGTTCTGGATAGTGCAGTGTGGCTGTCTCTAAAATAAATGAGACATTAAAAAAATTATTATGCATTATTTAAAGCTATCTGGATCCTCACTGAAAAAAGGCAGATTAAATATAAATAAAAAAGGAAACACAATTTTTTTTCAAAGGAAGTATAAGTAGGTGCTTGAGCCTGATTAGCTGGTTCAGTTAGTCCCTTGCTGGTATTGCAACAAAGACTTATTAGGATTTTGGGAAAGATTCACTTATCAGTTGTTTTTCACCGTGACTGTAGGATTTTCAAATAGAATATCCTTTTTTTGGTGATATCTTAATGACAGTTTTTAAAAAATAAGGAACACACAGAAACTTTGGACAAATGAAGTTCTCCTAAAAAGATGAAAGTTATTCAAATTTTAGATACAAAAACTATGAAAATTTACAAAATGAACTAATATAAATGATGCTTTCTAGATATAAAACATTACCGTTTGTCTACAGATTGGACAACTGATTGCCCCAAGCCATGAACCGTATCGCCAGTAAGCAATAATGCAGGCACCTAACGAAAAAAAACATTAATACTGATGTTTTAAAGTCCATATATCCTCAGAAAGTTTCAAATATTTGAAATATTTTAACAGTATCACTTTATTTAAAAATATTTTTACTTCATAACCAACTTTTCAGGTATATTCATATCTAGAAATAATTCCTGGCCATTAAAAAATATTTTTATTTAAACTACTAGTTAAGCTACAGACATTTTACACAATCAAAAGCAAGTATGTGTTAACTATCTTGCTGCTATGAGGCTTCACAGAAAATACTGCACTTCCCATGTAATATAATTAAACATCATTGTAGATATAACAGCCAACAAATCAGAGCATAAATTTTCTGTTCCAAATTTGATATGTATGTTACAAAAACACAACTTTTTAAGAGTTTAGAAAACCAATTCCTGAAGTATTAACTAACAGTAATTAAGTAGTATGAGCAAGGAATCAAAGGATACCGAGATTATATGCTCTCTACCCTAACAAAGTTTATAATCCATCTCAATAATTGAATCAACTCTTATACCAGATGGATTTGATTTTTCTGCTTGAAGATATTCATGAGCAGGAGAACACTAAGGATGGACAATGTGGCCTAAAGGAATGGTTTATGTCACCTCAGAAAATGGCAGGTGAGCTAAGTGCATGAGCACTGACTGGCAGGCTGGTAACAAATGGAGGAATGTTTCTGAATACTGCCTGGTGTTTAGGGGGCAGTTCGTTTTCTTCTCTGCAGGACACCTGTGTCTTCAGCCATCCAGGTCCCACTGTGAGTCTGAATTAAGTGTTAAGTCTCCCTCCCTCCAGGATGCTTTCTGTGTCCTTGCTCCTGCCTGACCAACCCAACCCAGCCCTCCTCTGTTCCTACACTTCCTCCTCCAGAGCGAGTGAGTATTCGTAATTCAGAACAAGCAAGGGCAATCCAACCGAAGAGACCAAGCTGACAAACTGAAATCAATTGTCAATACAAAGTATTCGTAGTTAATCTTGAACTGCGTAATATGAACTTGAAGGACAGAAGGAGTGCAGAGAAGGACACGTCAGAGAGTAACTTAGAGAGAAGACAGGATTTGAACTGAGCTTTGCCCGGCAGGTGAGACTGAGACAGGCAGAAGCACAGGAGGGAGGACGCCACGGGGGCAGCAGGGGCAGACGCTGGCAGAATTAAGTGGCGTGTGAGACGATGGTCACAGGCAGACACCCGCCAGTGACCGTCAGGAAAACTTGCTCACCAATTTAAAGATGAATTTAAAGCTAAACAATATCTGTCATCTTAATTCTCAGAGTGTTGTTTTAATTAGATCATGTTTATTAAGTACTTTCAGTAATCTAAGTTAGCATAGGAACTATATGCAAACAAAGCTTATCAATCTGTTAGTATTATTATTACCGTCTGAAATGAGGTCTTAGATTTATCTACCACTTTTTCACCCAAGAGCTCAATGTATTTTGACATATACTAAACTCATTTAATCTCACATTGTCTTTTCCACAAATTGGGGTATAGGTGTCCTTGTTTTGCAAATTATGTAACGGCCACTTGCCTGCACTGAAAAGCCATGGCCCAGCAGGTCCAGACACTCCAGTTCATGCACATCTGCTATTACACACCTGATGCTTTTCTGTTCCTCAACTTCCCCTCTCATAAAGAGATAGCCACCTAAATGGGCTCATGGAGGGATGACTCAGTAACTTTAATCTTGTCACAGACTCTCTGAATCTGTTTATTTGTAAAATGGGAATAAGACCTCACAAGACTGCTAGGGAATTAAAGAAAACAATATGGGTTACAAATGCAAATAAGGTGTTATCTGTTGTTGCTATTATTCTTAACTCACTCTAAGGAAACAGAGCTGTGGTCCTATATATAGGAACTAAGCTAAAGTGCTTTTGATATACATGGTATATACTTGATATACTTGAACTACCATTTAAAGAAACACATCTCTGTTTATTGAGAAGTTGAATACTTAGGTTTTCTTAACCTTTGAACCTGCAGACAGTAGTAAAGTGGCTAACAAGTAGAGCAGGGTATCAGAAGCCATCTACCCTATTACCTCAGACCCAGAGGTAAAACCAGAACACAGCGCAGTCATCTTTCAATTGAAAGGATTATCCACTAAGGGACATGCCTAAGCCTGGGGTGGCAGATGGGCTCATCTTGGCCAACAAACCTCCCTGACTCCAGCCTGCCTGGGCTGCTGTGTTAGAGGATGACCGAGGCCACAGTCAGACTCAGAAGAGTGTCAGATTGATTAGGTTTGAGAGGAGAAAGGTATCTGCCTTCTCTTATGGCCATTTAATGTCCCCTACCTGATCCTTCATTATTTTGCTGCAGATCAGCATTTCCAATAGAAAATTAAAAGACTAAAACTGAAATAAGTATTTTACAGTTTGTTAGCTACTCAGTCAGAAACCTTAGGGAAGAGATTGAATTTAATGGATGAAGCAAGAATGGGACCGGATTACTAACCGAGCGCAAGGCACAGCAAACCCTGCACTGCACGGTATGGGTCTTGGAAATCATAACACTGCGTCTGTTCACTCCATGTGATGGAGCTGGACAAAAGGGAGAAAGCAATTTATAGGATCACTGTATGCTACATTTTAAATTAGTCTTTATATAAACATTTGGTATATTTTGAAAGCAATAAAACCCTATCTTGAACACAGCTATTCAAACGAAAAGAAACCTAATTAAAAAAAAAAATAGGTCTAAGCTGGGCACAGTGGCTGTGCCTGTAGTCCCAGCTACTTGGGAGGCTGAGGCAGAAGGCTCACTTGAGGCCAGGAGTTCAAGGCTGATAGTGCGCTATGACTGCCTGTGAACAGCCCCTGTACTCCAGTGTGGGCAACATGGCGAGACCCCCTCTCAGAAAAAAAAAAAAAAAATCCAACAGGCATAGTCACTGGACAATGTAAGTACTAAGTAGCTCTCAGAGTGTTCACCACCAATTATGTAGCAGAATTGAACACAGGGCTTGAAGACAGACCTAGGTTTAAAAACCTGGCTCTGTCACTTAGCAGCTGGGTTACCCTTTGTAAAATTTCTTAATGTCTCTGAGCCTCAGCGTCCTCATTTATAGGGTTAGACAAGATGAAGTATGTTAAGTGTCCAGCACATCGTAGGCATGTAATAACTGACACTCCCCCTCTCTGATCTTATATGGCCATAATAAGCAATAACGGTGTGATATCTCATTATTCTCTATGAAATCTTTCTGGAGGGTCAGGAAAAATGATGAGTGGTGGAAAGCACCTCTAACTGAGTAAGTATGGAATCAATATTCCCTTCTTATTCTACTACATGTTCTGTGTTTCTCATTTTCCTTTCCAACCCTCTTGAGGTCACAAAGAAAGAGACAGAGAGTGAGACCTTTTATACTAACTCAGAGAACAAAGAGGTGGAGGAGCTAAGGGCTGGTCTTGGCAAAGTACGAGAAGAACCTTCCTGCCCGGGGAAGGATGAATAAATAAATGTGAACCAAAAGAGCGAACAAGGAGGGATTTGGTGAATCCCCCATGCTGCTGATGTACTTGAATTACTATTCAAAGAAACACATTTCTATTTACTGAGAAACAGATTCGTTTTTTCAACCTTTGAACCCACAGATGCTAAGTAATAAATATAAAATAAATAAGTATATTATTTAGATGCTAAATACACTTTGTTGACAAGTAGAGCAGGGTATCAGAAGCAATCTACCTTACTCACAAAATACAAAATGTGACAGAGAAAATCAGGAATGCAGATTATGTACGTATAGATAGGTATTGACCTAAACAGTCACTTTTACCAAGTCTAGCGTTGTTTGCTCACCACAAAAAAGGTGTCCACAGTTTGTTTCAACAGGGAAGGAGGCTTGATGTAAACAGATTGGACAGTACATGTCAGTGTAGAACTGCTGTCGAGCAGCAACGGGTGCATCCTGGTGAGAAAATGCGTGCGCATATTTACATGTGACACACGAGTTCTCAGCAATATCTTATGTTAAATAATGCATTTAAGAATACAGTCAATAGTGTATAATCCTCGTCAAATTTGAGATGGGTAATATCACAGGTCTTATAATTTTGATAAAGTTAGAAGGCTGTACTGTTGTTTTATTTAAGCTGCATGACTTCTACCTTCCTTCCTGAAAACAATTTAAAGATAAAGGCCCAGATTGACTCAGGAGTTCCTCTTTTCCTCTCTTGGAATGAGTAAGTTATTCTGTGTAACGCAAGACTGAGCTAATGCATACACTAAGAATAAGATAGCAAACTATTTTCTAAGTGGCTTATTTTCATTTATAACAGCTTTTTTCATTTTAACACTTGTCCTCTTGCCAAGTGTTGCATGTATGCTGTACCTCACAAGAGATCAGAATTAAACTTTCAGAGAAGAATGTTTGGTCATTTTGGGAGCAGAAAAATTTAAGACCACTGGTAATTTCAACTTAATTTTCCACATGGTCATATAAGTAAATATCCACGTGTTTCTCAGTTACATCAGTGTTGTGATTGAATAGGAATGTTAGGTAGAATTACCAGTATGAGAAGCATCCAGATATCAAAGACCCCACTAGAATGTAAGTACCATGAGGGCAAAGAATTTATCTGTAGGACTTGTAGTACCTCAAAACCTAGAAAAGTGTCTAGCACCAGTACATAATGTGTATCTTTTTAAATACTTACTTATCAAAAACTATTTTGATAGCACCCAGCACACATCTTATAAAGTAGCTAGTATTAAACACATCTAATTAAAGGAAAAAGTATCAAATTCGCTAAATATGAACTGTTCTTAATTCAATCAGATTTTTGCCACCCAAAAAACCATAATTAAAATTTCACATTTCCTAAAACAGTCCTAAATTATCAGAATATTCTGTAATTCAAGGTCATAATAGTCATTTATGTCACTTTTAATCATACAAAAAATGTACAGCACCTAATGTTCCCCTCTCCATCTTTTCTCATTTTTTTTAGAAATTGACAAAAATCCAATAAACAGTGATGTCCATGATGGCCAATAGAACTTTCTGCAATAATGGAAATCTTTATCAGCACTGTCCAATACAGTAGCCATGAGCCACATGTGGCCATTGTGTACTTGAAATGTGGCCAGTGTGACTAAAGTACTGAATTTCAAATTGTATTTAATTTTAACTGATTTAAACAGCCACATGTGGCTAGTGGCTGCCGTACTGGACAGCACAGACTTGCTAGATCGTTAGCCTTGTTCTAACTGTGAGAGCTCTAGGCCATGCCTGAGGAAGGTGTGAGGCAGACGAATGGGACAGTGCTGCAGAGAAATCCGGAAGATTCCCCTCAGTCTGGGACTCCTACATAGCTGAACCTATTCATATAGTTGCTAGTGTGAGAATTTAAGCAAATCTTAATGATCTAATATGTTAATAGGAATAATAATAGTTGCTTTACTTATCATGTTTGAAGATTAAATAAGATAGTTGTGAAAGCACAGTGTAAATTATAAAACACTATCCTAACATGAATTATTGATAATAATTCTGGAACTGAGTACGACCAATATGCTTAAATTATTCTTGCATCAATGAATTTAAATTCCATGAAGGTAGGAATTTTTATCTGTATAGTTCACAATTGAACTCCCAATGCCTAGAAAATGTCTGGCATGTGGTAGAATTTCAAAAAATATTTGGTGAATGGATAAATTTTAAAACTCTTATTGGAACTAAAGTTTGATCAGGTAGGAAAGCAACAAATAATAGTTTTGACACTACATCTCGTTAAGGCCAATTAGACAGTGATTACTGCTGCACTAATAAATTATAGGAAAACTGCTATCTTTTAAGTCAAATTAATAATAATCAAAATATGAAAACATCTAGATTAATACTAGGCAATTTGCCTAATCTAAAAATATACAATCTATAGAATAATATAAGGTAATTTAAAGCAGGAAAGAAGCCTAGTTCCAAAAAGTAATTTATTAATGTTTCCTCATAATTTCATATGCGAAGGGAGTTATAACATCTACTCCTTACATAAATGCATATTCATATAATAGTACCTGCTCAGTTTGAAGTTGTTCTCGAAGCACCCTTACTAGCTCTTGGTTTTCCGGGTGAATATTTTGATGTACGTTTCTGTTGAACAGAATATAATAAACTTTGAATAAAAAATATTGTCAGATGAATCCATTTTCTTTATGGGTCTAACTTTTAACTTAGAACTACTGTTAACTTAATAAATGTAAGTGATGGCATATAACTGCCCTTCAATTCCAGGGCTGTACATTCCAGGCTATCTTGTGGCAAGTTCTTCCGAGATCACGGATCATTAGCTGATTCCAGGTTAAAATGGCGAATGATAGAATCCAGAGGCCTCGTACCTAGGGAGTTGTTGTCATTACTTACAAATAATACAAGAGCAATTAACACAGTTTTTTGTGTGGAATTCCTTCAAAATAAGCAGTTACATAGTTTTACATATTATTATGCATTTGAATACTTTTCCACATTTAATTAGGTCTTTTTCCTAACTTTTCAGGTATGAGGGGACAAGAACAGAACAGAAACTAAAATTACACAATGTAGAAAAGCCAAAACTTAATGTACTACTAATGACATTAACAATTAAAATGGAGAATCAAAGGCAAGAAGTTAGTGGCTGATATAATCAGATGGGCTACGACATGAGAGTATTGAAAAGTAGATGGTCAGGTTGGCAGCGTGGGGGTGAAGATTTATATTTAAATCACAGCTTAATTTCATCTGGCTATAGATGTTTTTTCTAAATTTAAATGTCCTGAACAACAATATTTTGAGTCTGCACAGTCTCAGAGTTACTCTATAGAAGAACCTTTAACCTCTGGGTAAGCCAATATTCAACTCTAATATCCTAATGGGATAGGAAAAAGTAAATCCATCCTATGATAATTCAATTTTTAGTAAAAAATGCAAATTTTAGAAAAGGAAACTGACAAAATATAACCATTAGTTCAGAGAAGACATAAAAGCAATTTGAAGTCAGATATCTAAATAGAAACTCAACATAAATGTAATAAAACTACTTGAACTCTGTTTAAACCCCTTAAACTTTGATGGATTCTTTATTTTAGAGTAAGTTACATTCTTATGACTAAATAGATGATCTATGACATAAAGCTACCTCTATATGAAAGCAATCTGTCAAGAAGCAATCGATCTAGCACAGGAACCATCTCATTTAAATACCAGTGAAGAACTAGCTCAATGGCATCTCTCTGTCCTTTGAGAATAGAAAACCATTTTCTTTTCATTGGAAAAAAATAAGGATGACATTTCAGAGTACAGATAACGAATCATGTGACTGGAAGGTTCCTTGGCTGTCTTCTATAAAAGATGTAGGCATTTTAAAATCTGATAATAGGCCAGGCGCGGTGGCTCACGCCTGTAATCCTAGCTCTCTGGGAGGCCGAGGTGGGCGGATTGTTTGAGCTCAGGAGTTTGAGACCAGCCTGAGCAAGAGCGAGACCCCGTCTCTACTAAAATTAGAAAGAAATTAATTGGACAACTAAAAATATATAGAAAAAATTAGCCGGGCGTGGTGGCGCATACCTGTAGTCCCAGCTACTCGGGAGGCTGAGGCAGGAGGATTGCTTGAGCCCAGGAGTTTGAGGTTGCTGTGAGCTAGGATGACACCACGGCACTCTAGCCTGGGCAACACAGTGAGACTCTGTCTCGAAAAAAAAAAAAAATCTGATAATAGAGGCCAGGCATGGTGGCTCACACCTGCAATTCCAGCACTCTGGGAGGCCAAGGTGGGAGGATCATTTGAGGTCAGGAGTTCAAGACCAGCCTGAGCAAGAGTGAGACCCAATCTCTACCAAAAAGAGGAAAAAATAGCTGGGCATGGTGGTGCATGCCTGTAGTCCCAGCTTCTCAGGAGGTTGAGGCAGGAGGATCGCTTGAGCCCAGGAGCTGGAGGTTGCAGTGAGCTATGATGATGCCACTGCACTCTAGCCTGGGCAACAGAGTGAGACCTTGTCTTAAATGAATGAATAAATGAATAAATAAATAAGTAGCTTAAGAAGGAAAAACAAATAAAAATATTATAAAAAATTAATTATAGCTACAAAACACTGTGGAAATGGAAAGACATCCTGTGTTCATAGGTTAGAAGGCTTAACATTGTTAAGATAAAAATACTACCCAAAGTGATCTACCTACAGATTCAGTGCAATCCCTATCAAAATCTCAATGGCATTCTTTATAGAAATAGAAAAACTCACCCTAAAATGCATATGGAATCTTAAAAGGAAGCCCAAATAGCCAAAACGATCTTGAAAAAGAAGAAAATAAAAGGACACACATTTCCTGACTCAAAAACTTACTACAAAGCTACAGTAATCAAAACAGGGTAGTAGTGTCATAAGGACATATAAATCAATGGAATAGAACATAGAGCTCACAAATAAACTCTCACATATATGGCTGCTATAGACCGAATGCTTGTGTCCCTTACCCCTTGCCAAAATTTACATACTGAAACCCTAATCCCCAATGTGACAGTATTTGGAGATGGGGGTAATTTTAGGGGTAATTAGGTCATGAAGGCGGTGCCTGAATGATGGGATTAGTGCCCTTATAAGAAGACACAGGCGAGAGCTTGCTTCCTGTCTCTACTCCGCCATGTGAAGCTACAACAGGAAAAACAGCCATCTGCAAACCAGGAAGTGGACTCTTGCCAGACAGCACCTGACAACACCTTGATCTTGGACTTCCCAGCCTCTGGAACTGTGAGAAAGCAATGTTTGTTGTTTAAGTCATCCAGTCTATGGTTATTTAACAACCCAAACTGACTGAAACAATGGTCAATTGATTTTTGACAAGAGTAACAAGACTATTCAATGGGGAAAGTACAGTCTTCCAGTAAATGGTGCCAGGAAGACTGAATATCCACATGCAAAATCGACCCTTAGCTCACAACATATATGAAAATTAAATGAAAATGCATCAAAGAATTAAACTTAAGAGTTAAAACTACTATGGAAATCAGTATGGAGATTTCTCAAAGAACTAAAAGTAGATACTACCATTCAATCCTGCAATCCCACTATGGGTATCTACCCAAAGGAAAATAAATCATTATATAAAAAAGACATCTGCACTTACAAGTTTATTGCAGCACAGTTCACAATTGTAAAGTTATGGAATCAACCTAAGTGCAGATCAACTCATGAGTTGATAAAGAAAATGTGATATATGTATTATGGAATACTACTCAGCCATAAAAAAGAATGAAATGATGTCTTTTGGAGCAACTTGGATGGAACTAGAGGCCATTATCCTAAGTGAAGCAATTCAGTGTCAGAAAACCAAATACCACATGTTATCACTTACAAGGGGGAGCTAGGCTATGGCTATGTATAGTCACACAGAGTGGTATAATGAGCACTGCGGACTCTGAAAGTGGGAGGCTGGGAGATGAGGGATGGAAAATTACCTATTGGGTAAAATGTACACTATTCATGTTCTGTTCATGGAACAATAGAGCCTGGATGACAGCATACTGTCGAGACCTACTGCTCAGAAAAAAAGATTTCTTTCACTGACAATGCATCTGATCACCCAAGAGCTCTGATGGAGATGTATAAGGAAATTAATGTTGTTTTCATGCCTGCTAACACAACATCCATTCCATATCCCATGGATCAAGCAGTAATTTTGACTTTCAAGTCTTATTATTTAAGAAATACATTTTGTAAGGCTATAGCTACCATAGAGAGTGAGTCCGCTGAAGGATCTGGGCAAAGTCAGCTTAAAACCTTCTGGAAAGGATTCACCATTATAGATGCCATTAAGAATATTCATGACTCATCAAAGGAGGTCAAAATACTAACATTCCAAACATCAGTTTGGAAAAAGTTGATTCCATCCCTCATGGATGACTTTGAGGGGTTCATGACTTTAGCGGAGGAAGTAACTGCAGATGTGATGGAAGCAAGAGAACTAGAACTTCTAGAATTAGAAGTGGAGACTGAAGATGTGAGTGGCTGTAATCTCATGATCAAACTTGAATGAATGAGGAGCTGCTGCTTATGAACGAACAAAGAAAGAGGTTTCTGAGATGGAATCTGCTCCTGGTGAAGACGCTGTGAACATTGTTGAAATGACAACAAAGGATTTAGAATGTTACATAAACTTAGTTGATAAAACAGTAGCAGGATTTGAAAGGATGTACTCCAATTTTGAAAGAAGTCCTACAATGGATAAAATGCTATCAAACAGCATCACATGCTACAGAGAAATCTTTCATGAATGGAATAGTCAACAGATGCAGCAAACTTCACTGTTTTCTTAAGAAATTGCCACAGCCACCCCACCCTTCAGCAACCACCACCCTGATCAGTCAGCAGCCATCGACATCAAGACAAGACCCTCCACTGGCAAAAAGATTATGACTGGCTGAAGGCTCAGATGATTGTTACCATTTTTAGCAATTAAGGTATACACATTTTTTAGACATAATGCTATTGCACACTTAATATAGTGCAAACATAATTTTATATGTACTGGGAAACTCAAAATTTGTGTGACTCACTCTATTGCTATATTTGTTTTATTGAGGTTGTCTGGAACTGAACCCTCAATGTCTCTGAAGTATGCCTGTATCTGATAATAACACCAGAATATATAAAAAACTCATATAACTCAAACACAAAATAGAAAACCACCTAATTCAAAAATAAGCAAAGACTTGGATAGACATTTCTCCATAAAAGACAAATGGTCAGTAGTCACGAAATGATGTTCAACATCATTACTCATTAAGGAATCAGAAATCAAAACCACAATGAGATACTACTTTCATACCTCTGAGGATGGTAATTATTTAAAAAAATAAAAAGAAAATAACAAGTTTTGGCGAGGATATACAGAAACTGGAGCCTTGCTAGCAAGAGTGTAAAACAGGGCAGCTGCTGTGAAAATCAGTTTGCAGGTTCCTCAAAAGTCAAACATAGAATCACCATATGGCCCTGAAATGCCGGCTGAAAACGGGACTCAAGCAGATACTTGCACACCAGCATTCACAGCACTGTCACTCACAATGGCCAGAAGATGGGAATGACCCAAATGGCCACCAACAGATGAACGGATAAACA